TATTTATAGCTAGAGTCACCATTTTTGGTCAGTTTGTAGACTGAAATCTCTGGACCCACACAATGTCTTCGGAATTACGGTAGGATTAATACTTTTCCTTAAAAACGCTCCAGACCGACCTAAAGTCGATGAAAATCAGAGCCGTTTTTCATTGGTTTTGGAGCAGAAGAGGGGAGAAAAACGAACAACTCTATGTGTTTTCAACTCGTCATAAATATTGTTCTGAAAGACACACATACACCAAAGTTGGCATAGTTGGAGTCGAAGGATTGCTGATGCTCACGGTGAAGAAATTTTTTGAATAACTCATACGGTTTTTGCTCAGCAGTCGTTTGTTCGGAGCTGTTCCTCCCATTCAAAAAAGCCTGAGAGCGAAGGAACGATCGTGCTGCGCCTTTCTCTCTGTCACTGACAGGCTCGTTAAGCGTTGTCAAGGTAACCGTGCTTCAAAGAGATTTTACCTCTGCTGTTTTAAACAGCACATATTAATCTAATGGAGGGTGAAAGCACTGATTTAACATTGGGAAATGGATACTATATGACTGCTGTCCATTACACTTCCCTTGCCACTCAACACTGATAGACTTTCAAAATAAGACTCCAGGGACCCTACAAAATAAAAGCCTCTATATTTTTTACATATATTTATTGCCCTATATGGCTCAACATTATGACCCAAACTCAACCCCATTTTAGAGAATAGACTCTAGGAGACTGTTTAAAAACACACCCTATGGCAAATTTCAAAATAAAAGCCTCCCATTTCCGCTTCATCTACTGCCCTAATAACATGGAAAAAGAGTGATTTAACGATTGGAAAGTCATCAACTATCATTGCTGGGTCTAAACATTTTCTCTAAACACAACTCTGTTGAACTTTCAAAATAAGACCCCAGGGAACTTACAAAATAAAAGCCTCTAGATTATACTAATGCATTAATTAAAGCAAATTACTCTGAACATTAATTAATGCAGCAACTATTCACCTAATAACATGGAAAACCAGTGATTCAACACTTGGAAATGGATTCTATATCACTGCTGGGCATGACCCATCTTTTGATGCACATCCATGATAGACTTTCAAAATAAGACTACAGGGACTCTACAGAATAAAAGCCTCTTCCTTATACACACTCATACATTCTGGCATATTGCTCATAGCCATTTTTAATTTCATCCCTGCAATGACTTTGAGCATGCGGGCGGAGCCCGCCAATGGTGATTTTTTTCATCACTGCAATGGCTCGTAGCATGCAGGCGGAGCCCGCCATTGGTGATTTATTCAATTCAATTCAGTTTATTTATGTTGTGATTCTATAGTTAAATTCTATTCCCAGCCTGCTGGGAATTTATGTTTCTGATACTTTAAGATGTTTATTGCCCTCCCCTGTAGGGGTGGTAAAATATCTTATTTAATCAGATATTATTTCAGCTGTTATATAGTGTTTATGACACACAGTCCTACTAACTGTGTGTTAGAACAATAAATGAAAGAGTGATTCGAGCACTAATCATGGTCAAACAGTTATTTCTGCACATACATGTAATAAATTCACCACAACTTCTATTCAAAATATAAGATTTTATTACCAAAAATCATTCAGCTCCAAGTCAAACATATTTCAGTTTAACACTCTCAACTAAGACTAGTAAAACTCAACTAAACTAAACTAAACTAACTACTATGTACAAAGAGGAAGGGGAAAACGGTTGAAAAACATATTACAGTTTAAGATGGATTCTGTGTTTGAAACCAAAGTTTATCTGGAATAATTTGGAATGTGATCAAATTAGCTTTTCACAAATTTTAAAGAAATTGGAATGTTTTCAGACCAATTCACAATGCAAATCCATGAGGTGAATAAAACATTATTTGGCCAAATAATGTTTTATTAAATGATTTGCTTAATCAAGAACCAAAAACCTTTAGTTAAATGATTCTTTACCCTCTTTGAAATAGCTAGCAGCGAATAGACATCAGGATTCCACTAAATGACTCTTGGTCAGACCTGGTAATGGAAATGTAATGAGCATTTGAGGAACACATGAACACTAATGTTATTTCAGTGTTTAAATCCTTAGTGAATAAAGCTTGTCTAAGCTTTAGCAACAGCTCAACACATATTCCTGTAGCATAGCGTGGCATGCAGTCCATTCTTTAGCATCAATTAGCTTTGTCTTTACTCAGCAGTAAACACACGATATGATTAGCATCATCAAAAGACACATTGCTTTTCCTGTCCCTAATCATGCCAGACCTGCAAACCTTTTTCCATGTCCGTTTGGAAAGCTTGAGTTTCATCCAGTTTTGCAGCTCTGCAGTCAGCGGTTCTTTGTCGCAGTCTCACAGCAGGGGTCCCCTCAGTCTCAAACCCAAGGATATGGTTCTCATCCAGTTTGGCTCTGTAAGTTCTGAAACTCAAGAGAAATGTGTTGCAAAGGTTCTGTTTGCAGCAGTTAGGTTCTGAAGAGTTCTGACTCATCCTTGATGGTTCTGGGGATCTGGTTTCCCTGGGGCCTGCATCTCCACTGTGGGCCACAGTGGGCCCCAGCTTTGAGCGCAGGACCAGAAGCAGGCTGGATCAGACGTGGGAGAAAGAGAGAAGAGGCAAAAGAGCAAGAATCCTGTGTGCTCTGTGGTTTTGTTCTGTCCTCACAGGGAGGGGGGTAGGTTTTCACACCTCTGTGACTTCCATGTGACTTCTTTGGCTGAAAAAGGGGGGGCTGCTGAAGTCCCCCAGCTGTTATTCACCAAAGCTGTGTTTTCTTCTCTGGTCATCCTATCAGGATGAAATATGGACACTGCTTCCCAATGTCCAAAAAGTATGATCATGGCATATGGCTCAACATGTATATAGCGCCAAATTCACAACACATGTCATCTAAAGGCACTGCAATGGCTCTTAGCAGGTTGCTGAAGCCTGCCAACTGAGCTTTACCCACTGCAGTTCAATATGGACAACCCATATTACCCTTGTGCATCATATGCTGTGCACGTCTATTTCCCAGATTTCAGCACAAGTGGCACACAGCTCTCTTTGCCCATGACCTAGCCCTCTTTCCTTCCCTCAGCAGCCCTCAAAGGCGTAAGCAGTTGGTCTGGGTAGCCCCGAAATCACTTGCAAGGGCTGTATTGGCCCGGTTCCCAGAACGGGCAGTAGGTGGCCCCCCTCAAAATTTCTTTAGAAATTTTCTAGTTATTATTTATTTACTTTATTATATATATATATATATATATATATATATATATATATATATATATATATATATATATATATATATAAACTGTTTTCTCACCCCTCGTGGGGTGGTATGTGTCATCCTCAAGCTCGGGTCCTCTACCAGAGGCCTGGGAGTTTGAGGGTTCTGCGCAGTATCTTAGCTGTTCCTAGGACTGCGCTCTTCTGGACAGAGACCTCTGATGTTTTACCTGGAATCTGCTGTAGACACTCTCCCAGTTTGGGGGTCACAGCCCCCAGTGCTCCAATTACCACTGGCACCACTGCTGCCCTTACTTTCCACATCTTTTCTAGCTCCTCCTTCAGTCCTTGGTATTTCTCAAGCTTCTCGTGTTCTTTCTTCTTGATGTTGCTGTCGCTTGGGATTGCCACATCTATCACTACTGCCTTCTTCTGCTGTTTGTCGATCAACACGATGTCTGGTTGGTTAGCCATCACCTGTTTGTCAGTCTGGATCTTGAAGTCCCATAGGATCTTAGCTCGGTCATTCTCAGCTACCTTAGGAGGTGTCTTCCATTTTCACCTTGGGACTTCCAGCCCATACTCATGGCAGATGTTCCTGTACACTATGACAGCTACCTGGTTGTGGCGTTCCATGTATGCACTTCCTGCCTGCATTTTACACCCCGCTGTTATGTGTTGTATTGTTTCAGAGGCATCTTTGCACAGTCTGCATCGGGGGTCCTGCCTGGTGTGGTAGACCCTGGCCTCTATTGATCTTGTACTGAGTGCCTGTTCTTGTGCTGCCATGATTAGTGCCTCTGTGCTGTCCTTCAGTCCAGCCTTTTCCAGCCACTGGTAGGATTTTTTGATATCAGCCACTTCTTCTATTTGTCTGTGGTATACGCCGTGCAGCGGCTTGTCCCTCCATGATGGTTCTCCTTCATCTCTCTTGTCCTCACTTTCGGTTTTCTCCTGCCTGAGGTACTCACCAAGCCATTTGTCTTTGGGGGCCATCTTTCTGATGTACTCCTGGATCTTAGTTGTTTCATCCTGGACAGTGGTCTTGACACTCACTAGCCCTCGGCCTCCCTCGCTACGCTTGGTGTACAGTCTCAGAGTGCTGGATTTGGGGTGGAACCCTCCATGCATTGTGAAGAGCTTTCTCGTCTTGATGTCAGCAGCCTCTATCTCCTCCTTTGGCCAGTTTATTATACCAGCGGGGTATCTGATGACTGGTAGGGCATATGTGTTGATGGCTTGGATCTTATTTTTCCCATTCAGCTGACTTTTCAGGACCTGCCTTACTCTTTGTAGGTATTTAGCTGTGGCAGTCTTTCTTGCCATCTCCTCATGGTTTCCGTTAGCCTGTGGCACCCCAAGGTATTTGTAGCTGTCCTGAATATCTGTTATGTGGCCTTCTGGTAGTTCAACCCCCTCGGTTCTGATCATCTTCCCTCTCTTTGAGACCATGCGACCGCACTTGTCTAGTCCGAATGACATCCCAATGTCGTTGCTGTAGATCCTGGTAGTGTGGATCAGTGAGTCGATGTCTCGCTCACTCCTGGCATACAGCTTGATGTCATCCATGTAGAGGAGGTGACTGATGATTGTTCCGCTTCGGAATTGGTATCCGTAGCCAGTCTTTGTGATGATCTGGCTGAGGGGGTTCAGGCCTATGCATATATATATGTATTATTATTTATTTATTTAGAAACATTTATTTATTTTTTTTTTTTTCTCCCGGTGGGGGGAGCGGTTGCGGACAGGGCGGTGTCTGGTGTCTACTGTCGCACTGGGGGGGCTTTTCTGTTTGGCATTCTTTTTCCGTCTTGGGGGGTGGCCCCGTTGGGTGAGGGTCCTGCTGGCGGCGTGCCGCTGGTGTGTGGGGGTCTGGGCGGCTCCGGCGTGGTTTTTGTTGGGGGGCTGGTGTGGATCGGCCGGCTGCGCTGATTGGGTCTTTGGGTGGGTTTTACCGCTTTGAGGCATGGTGGAGCTGCTTTGGTCCCGCTGATCGTGGCGGGTGTGGCTGCAGGGCGGGTGGGGGTTGGAGTGGCTCCGGCCGGCGTGCGTCCGGGGGCCGGGGCGGCGGAGGTGCTTCGGGAGCATGTTGGGGGCTTGTGCAGGTGGCGAGGGGGGGCGGCGGACGCGGCTGTGCTGCTCTGGCTTTGTCCAGTGGGGAAGCAGCGTGGTCCACTCTGGCTCTGTGCTGCCCGCGGGCTGCTGGGGGGGGTGGTTGCGCCGGCTACGGTCTGCTCCTCTGGCGGTCGGGCGGCTTTTCTGCTCTTGGGTCAGTTCTGTGCGTGGTGTGTTGCGTTGCGCGCTTTTGGCGTCTGTCTTGGTTGGGTGGGGCCGCGCTTTTGGCCTGGGGGGCATTTTGAGGGGGTTCCGCGGCGCTCGTGGCAGGTTCCCGGCGGATGCGCGTGGGTCCCGGCTGTGGGCGCGGCCGCCTGTGTGTTTTTGAGGGTGGTGTGGTCGCGTTGGGTGTTGCGGTCGCCGGGGCTTGGTGCCGGGGGGCGGGGCGTGTTTTGGCGCTCTGTGGGGCCGGGGTGTTTCGGTCGGTGCTGTGGGGGGGCCAGTGTTCTTTGCCCGGCCCTACTTCAGGGTGGCCGGCGGAGCCCGCGGACTTGCCTCCGCGGCTCCCCGGGGCGCCGCCATGGCAGTGGCTGGGGGGCTTCTTGGGGGCTGTCTCTCCTCCTCCCTTTGTGGGGGTCCGATTTCCGGGGCTGGCCCCTCCTTGGTGCCTTCGCTCTTGGGGTTCCTTTTGGCGCCTGGGGCTTTTGGTCTCCCGGCGCTGGACTCAGTGCTCTGGGGGGTGTGCTTCTCCAGCTCTGCACAACCACTATTGAGCATTTTTTCTATGGATAAACTTTACATGCAAAAGTTCACCCTCACAAACAATTACAGGTGCTTGGCTCCAGATACTCAGAGATTCACTTCCATACAGAAAGCCCACATCCGTATCTTCAGGTAACACAGAGTACATGTCAGACTTAATAATATTACTTTAGCGATAGTTTCAAGGTGTTGATTTATTGTATGTCTCGTACCATGTCTTTCGGTTGTGCTGTTCTTTTTTCATCTCGTTATAGGTGATGAAGCAGACTGAAAATGTTTTCATTGTCTCCTTTCTCTTCTTTCTTTCATCTTTTCTCTTTCTTTTTTCCTTTTCTTCTTCTGTTTTTCTGCTCTATTTACATTGCAGTGTCCATATGAACTGTAAAACTCCCTGCATAATTATAATAAAGCAATTTGCATGCATGAAACAAGTGGAGCTATATGGCAATTGCCATACTGCTACACTTGTGAAAGTAAAATCTGTTGGGCTCTTTTTGGCATCAAGACAATTATTCTTATTGCCACATTGCCAGACAGGACACTGTAAAAAAAAAAAAAAAATCATCACTTCTAAGAGCAGGTTGAATGGACGGTTCAACAGAGCTGTGGCTCTGGGTGAGTTTGGCAACTGTATTAAAAAGAAATCTAGGATTATTCTTATTCTCCTCTATTGATGAATAGAAATATGCTGCTCTTGCTTTACAAAGGGTCCTCTTATACAGCACTAAACTATTTTTCCAGACTAGGAAGGACTCCCGCAGGCCTGTGGAGCGATATTTTCTCTCCAGTTTCCTAGCATTTTGCTTCAAAGTGCGCAGCTCTGCATTAAACCAAGGAGCAAGCTTTTTATTTTTAACGGTTTTCATTTTCAAAGGAGCTGCGTTGTCTAAGGCAGTAGGCAGAGAACTAGCAACCCCATCAACAAAATCATCAACCTGTAAAGGGGAATAAGCTATGCTTTTGCACTCTGCAGCACTGCTCAGCGACACAGAGGAGAGAGAAAGTGAAGCAGATTCTTTAAAATGTATAACTGCACTATCTGATAAAGATCTACTAAAATGTAACCTTCTTTTGGGGGAGGAGAACTCTGTTTAAGTAATCCTGAAGGTTATTAGAAAGTTGTCAGAGAGGACAGGGTTGTGAGGAAATCTGGTTATTTCTTCACATTCTATGCCATATGTCAGCACAAGATCCAAAGTATGAAGATGAGAATGTGTGGGACTATTCACATTTTGAACAAAGCCAATAGTGTCTAAGATAGCATTAAAGGCTGCTCTTAAGCTATCGCCTTCATTGTAAGCATGGATGTTAAAATCTCCCACTATGATGACCCTGTCAGTATTTAATACCAAATCAGAAAGGAACTCTGAAAACTCATCTAAAAATTCAGAGTAAGGACCTGGTGGACGATACAAAGTAACAAAAAAAAAGAGATTTTCTTGCTTTGAAATTTGGATCAGGAAAATTAAGGGTTAAATATTCAAAAGAGTTGTAGGTATTAACTGTTTTGGGAGTAATCAGTAAGTCAGACTGGAAGATTGTTGCTACTCCTCCTCCTCGCCCAGACATTCTGGGGATGTGAAAATTTAAATAGCTTGAAGGAGTTGCCTCATTTATGCTCACATAATCCTCTTGCTGCAGCCAGGTTTCTGTAAGGCAAAACAAGTCAATGTGATTATCACAAATCAAGTCATTAACTAGCAGACTTTTAGAGGAAAGAGATCTTATGTTAAACAGACCACATTTAATCGTTTTAACTTTTTCCCCAATTGGAGTTATTTCAATTTTAATTAGATTATCATGATATACTCCTTTGGGAATATTTGTTAATTTATTAGATTTTGGTCGTGGGCAAGACACTGTCTGGATGGAGTAAAGAGTGGGTAACAGTAGAGAAGCTGCAGAGAGGTCTGTTAAACTAGGACTCTGCTTCCTGGTCTGCACCCTGGGGGGTCAGGGTTTTGGAGGACTAATAAATGTGGCCAGATTCCTAGAAAGAAGAGCTGCACCATCCAAAGTGGGATGGATGCCGTCTCTCCGAATCAGACCAGGCTTTCCCCAAAAGGATTGCCAATTATTAATGTAGCCCACGTTGTTTTCAGGACACCACCTAGACAACCAGCGGTTGAATGACGACATACGGCTAAACATGTCATCACTGGTCAGGTCAAGGAGGGGACCAGAGAAAATTACGGAGTCCGACATTTTTTTGGCAAACTTACACACCGAAGCAACACTAATTTTAGTGACCTCCGATCGGCGTAACCGGGTGTCATTACCACCAGCGTGAATAGCAATCTTACTGTATTTAACCTTATAATGCATTCACACCGGACACAGCTGGCGCGACAGAAGCAGCGAGTTTACATCCAAAGTCAATGGTTGGCGCGGGTCAAGGCGCAGCAAAAGGTCCCGCGGCGCGTTTTGAGCAGCAGGCGCAGCGCGTCTGAGCAGCTGAAGCAGCGCGTCGGGTGCATTTAAGCATCTGACGCGTTTGACGCGCTGCAAACTCGCTGCTGCTCGAGATGGAAAAATTTAATTTTTGCTGCTCGCGCCGCGTCAACCAATCAGAGAAGCTGATCTGGGAGCTGGCAGGCAGAGAGACACAGCGCTGATGATCAGAGCGCTATGATCACTCCTCTTAAACAGTTTATTGGCGCCTAAATTAACTTAAAATGCAGAAATCTGCTGGCAGAATATGTTCGCTTTTATTATCCTGCTGCCTGCAGTTTGGATTATTTAGATGAAAAACACCTTCCAGCTGCCGCGGTAAACCGCGAGGAGGCGACCCGGCCAGAGGCTGCTGATGAAGGGATTCCTATGCACCGCTGGTATGTGGGGGTCTGAGCGGCTCCGACAGAAATAACATTAGAAGACAGGATGATAATCTGAATGAACTGACTGCACAGATGAAGTTTTCAGGTGGACTTTCTCACTTAAAAACATATTAAAACTACTTTATTCCCACTGATCACAGCAAATATAGCTGCAAGGCAGAGAAAGGATAGTGAAGCTCCGCCCAATGCCCGTCAGACACACTTTTGGACCGCACAGCGAGAGCAGCAAAGCTGCTTCAGCCGCGCATCACAACTAACTGGTTCAAGCAGCAAAAATGAAGCAGCAGACGCGATTTTGCTGCGTCTGGTGTGAACGTAGCATTATCCTTAGCCAGCAGTTTCAGGTAGGATTTAATGTCGCCCGTTCTGGCCCCCGGCAAAACATTTGACTATGGTCCCTGGTGTCTCTAATGCCACGTTTCTGACTATGGAGCTGCCAGTCACCAGAGTGGGCTTCTCAGTGGGTGTGTCACTGAGTGGGGAAAACCGGTTAGAAACGTGAACGCGTTGGTGGTGACCAGTGGGCAGAGATCCACGACTACGCTTTCTGCGTACAGTTACCCAATCGCCTGGCTGCTCAGGCACTTTTGGGGGACAACTACGTGGGGGGCCTACTTTAACTCCTGGATGTTCAACAGCCTGAAGCCTGGATTCTAACCCTGACACCCTCGCCTCCAAAGCTACAAAAATACTACACTTATTACACATCCCATTATCACTAAAGGAGGCAGAGGAATAACTGAACATCTGACACAGAGCAGGAGAGAGGAGAGGAAGAAGGAATAGTTGGAAAACAGCCAAGGGAGGGAGGGAGAAGCCATAGCAATGCTAAGCTAGTGTTAGCCTAGGCTAGCTACTCCTTACAACCAGAAATAAAACCGTGTGAAACTGACAAGTGCTCAGTAGAAAAGTGCAGTGAAAGGCTATGTCTTAAAGTAGTTCTGGTCAGTTAGAGTTACTGAGATACAGAGATATCAGAAAAAAATAACTTAATTCAGACAGAGATCGTCTGGACAGCAAGAACACTCAATCAGGAAGTGAACCTGGTCTTTGATGCCTTGGTTACTGAGTTGCAGATCCAGTGTACATTAATAAATGCTTTTGTGAATCACACTGATCTGTTTAGTTCAAATTCTGGCTCCTCAACTCTGAGTCTTGACAGTACATGGGTTTAGGTAAAAAGATACAAGCACTGAGTCATGGTTAAAAAGTTGAAGCTTATTGAGGGGTGTTAAGGAAGAAATTTCTAAAAAGTTAACTTTGGAAAAAAGTCTGGCTCTCTCTCTTCCTCTGGATCCCAGGTCCTCTCGGCGGCCACGTGTAGCCACAAGGAAAACAACAATGCATGTGGACGTCAAAGAATTACAGAGTTTAATCCAATATAAGACAATGCATAAACTTAGAAATAAGACAATGCACAAACTTACACCAGAAACTGCAGAACAACGGAGACATACATTCATTTACCTGACATAAATGGAGAGAAGGAAAGAAAGCAAATACGTACAAAGACATCTTTGGAGAGTTGCAATAGCAAATCTGATTTGTTACTTCTGTGTAGAAAGTTTTATCCTCTTGTATTTAATTTATTCAAATAAGGCTGGCTTTTCCTTCTCCAACCAGGAGCTATCTCTGACCCCTTATCTGAAGCCTAAAACCCCTGCAGTGTTTACGGCCTCTCACAGATGAGTGTGAAAAGCCAGAACTTCCACTGTATTGTTTTACGACACAGACAAAAGGCAGTTTAAACAATCCTAACAAACCATCTGCTGCAGCCACAGGCAAAACAAAGGTCAACAGGCCAGAATAAGTCACTGATATAAAACCACAATTTAGGCCATTTGAATTAAGACATGTTAAGTTTTAAAACTAGCTTATTTAAAATACATTTTCTCAACAGGGGTGAAGACTTTCATGGAAACAAGGTCAGCTTTGTCAGAGGTACACAAAACAGCTAAATAAAGGAACTGACCAGAGTAGGCAGGGAAGGAGACAACTTAACTACTACTAACTTAACTAATGAGGTACAGAGGAAACTGAACAAAAACACAAACGGTTCCAAAAATCTAAATGAAAGAGCAGGAGAGTATACTCTGTTGATATTTCTGATGGAATATATATTGCACAATTTCACAAAGAAAACTAAGACTGTTTCTGGAAAATTCCACCCCTGGCACA